ATATATATATATTTATTATAAGTACCTAAAAATATGAACGACAAAAATAAAAAAAAACGACAAATGACCATAATTCAATACAGCAGTAATATCAACTACACCTTAACCCTTCAGGCAGAACGGCATCAAACCGGGTGTGGCTACAAGTGCTCCAGCGCCCATGGTGTCTTTATTAACAAAACCCCATGGAAAGATGGATAGTCAAAATCCATAACATCGAATATATGAATTACAAAAATATCGTCTATAGTAAAATTGAAAGTGATAATAATAGTGACGTAACGAGTTATCGCATCGCAGAAGACGTTGTCGCCATGATGTAATTTCATACGGAAAATCCGATTTTTCCTTCACTAAATACTATAGCCCGTATTCAGAACTCGCTTTTAGTGCTAGCGCGTTTTTTAATTTCTTCTCAGTTACATTTAACTACACGCGACTCTGTTAGTGACTTTAAGGGCGAGTTGTGAATAGGGGCTTGTACCTATAGCTTACATCTGGCTCAAAATTTTAGTACTTTACTATTCGGAGTCCTGGCTTCCCGTTAGCGAAAATCGAAAAATTCGAGAAAACGAGCCTCCGGCGTCATCGTGGTTACTAAAGTGTTAAAATAAAATTTAAAGAAAATTTGAAAAATATTTAAAAAAATTTTTTCGACTTTTAATCGTTCAAAGTCTCAGCCGACTGCTTCAAAATGATCCGTATTACGCGTTCAGTCGCATCCGAAGGGCTAAGGAACAGTTTACCTTTTTTTTTTCTCAATAGTTAGTAATTTTCGGCAGGTGGCTTCTCACCGCTACACGCCATCTTATGTGATACCATGAAAACAAGCATCTTGGTAACGATCTCCAGATTAATTCAAAATGTTCGCGTGACACTCGGAGAATGCTACTCCAGAAGGAGATCTCTTTGTGCTCGTCGACGTACCAGTTACCGCTGATCGTTTCTCAAGTTCTCACGTCCATCGTCCATCTCCCTGCCTCGTTTAACCACACAGAGCGCACTGCCAGAATAATCCTGACCGTGTTCGAAGAACTTACGAAAGCATCAAAGCGAGAAACCACAAGGCACGAAAAAAGAAATTTCCACAATTCCTCACAATCAATAGAAATCTCAGGTAAATCGTATACTCCCAGTATCTCAGGCACGGTAGACCGAAGGTATTCTAACCCAAAAAAAAAAAAGAATTCCGATTGCTACCAACATAACTGATATCTACTATCGCAAATCAAGACCCATAATTCCTCGTAAATATTTCTACCACGTGTAACTTGTGCTTATATAGACATGTAAATCTAATTACCATTAGCAATACTGAAGTGCACATTATCTACCGTAAAGACCTTAGAACTTTCTGTACCATTCTTAACCTAAGCTAACCTGCGTGTAAGGAACATATATCCATTTAACACAGCATTCACCATCGGTACAAGTTATCCGTACACCCTGTATATCACTCATTACCTGCATCAAACGAGTTTATCGTATCCATAGGTGTAGGATCACATATGGCAAACGGATAGACCAGCAGACCCGTATTGTGTCTAAAAGACGAATGCACCTTGTTGTGTGTTGCTTTCGCTAAAATGTAAAAGGTCGATCAATGATCGATACGGGACGCGATTTCTTGGGTAGCCGCCATGCGGATTCGCCTAAGGGGTAAACTTTACGGTATTCGTACAAGACTCTTTTCTTTTTCTGTCTAACCACTGGATCCCATACAACTAAGTTTCCTTTTTTACTCGTTCGCCTCGATGTATCCCGCTTCTCTATTCTCTTCCGTCACTCGTAACGCGTTTTAACATCAATTCGTCTACATCCTCTCGATACACGATAACAGTAAGATAAGGTAATTAACTACAAGATCAACCCGATAGATATGACAATAAAGAGAGCCACCCGTACTATTGACATCTGATTCTAATTATATCGGTGTAAGCTGATACGGATTATCGACGGACGTGGCTTTGTAGCGTCAGTGTATACGGGCCTGATTCCAGGCAATGTATTTAATTGACCGACAAAGAGAAATATCGATAAGGATCGATCGAAGCGAATATTTTTACAAGATCTATACTCTCTATTGGTAATCGATTTTCTTATGGATCTTATTGATCTTTCGCGCGAGTCAAAACCAAGCTTGTATTATCGCCTCGACTCTTTGATTAAAACTATACAGAGTTTCGACGAACGGGATGTAGACGAACCTAAACGATTTGTAATGATGCTTGGAGCGACTGTAGTCAGGTAGTCAGCGACCTATCAAATTAAATGACTGCCCCCTTTACGCCTGTTCATTCGAATGACGTTTCGTAACGAGCACGTGTAACGCACGTGTAAACACTGTATAAAATATTAAAAAATAATTTCCCACCACGATTGTTATAAAGGGTGTAAAATAACTAGAAAAAAAAAGTACCTCCAATGTAAACAGTCGAAGAAATATGTACAGGTAAATTTTCTTTCTCAGTATTAGCGAGCGAATAATTTTTGCAAATTGGTAGACCCTCACATCCGAACGACTCTCGTATATAAAAGTTTTATGTTTGGCTCGCGTGGCTCCTGCCTACCGTTTCGTCTCGACATGACAGATCATCGTATAGATACGCAGTACTTATTTTCACTATATATCCCGGCGACTCTCGCATTATCTAATTTTCCACTAGGCTTTGTTAGTCAGCTATCTGGCACTCATTTACGAGGCTCACGTGACGCCTTTCGAACCTCCGTATAACGGCAAGAACGAAACTAATTTTTTTAACATCTTTTATCTTTCCCACACATTACTCCTTTCACCCCTTTCTCTGGTAACAATACCTAGAGAATAATACCTTGTCCGTGTGTGAAAAATTATTTTTGCGATTAACGATGCCATTGAATTTCACGGAAATTTTAATTTCGATCTCGACGGAGCTCTTGAGACGATTTTCAATCGCCAAACGTTACCACAGTCCAACGATCACTGGGAGACACGGTTAGGTGGCCTTGGCCAAATAAATGCCAATCCGCAATTGCAATTTCGGGAAGCTGGCCGTCTGCCCAAATACGTTGAGGTATACCAGCCGAGGAGACCTCGTAGCCACGAATTACTATGTGACTTTATGTCTACATAATAATTGCGGAAATACCAAGGGAAAGGATACGTGGACCAGGATTCATGTGGCATTTGTGGCTAAGACTTGGCGAGATATTTTCAGCCTCGCGACACGTGTTACTGGATTAACGTATGTGCGCAAAATTGCTTTTTTTTTTTTTCATTTAATTTACAAAAAAAAAACCCAAATCGTCCCGGAAGCGTTACGTCATACGTAAATTTGACGAATGTAATTTTGCTACACTGCCACGATGCTTTGCCATTCTTTTGGCGAGACATCCAATTCTTTATTTCGTTTGCTCCTCGCACTTGGTCAGTCCCTACCTTTTGTCACTTCTTGGGTCCCGCCACTTCCGGTCACGAACAGTGCCAGTTTTTCGTTATAAGAACTCTTCTGGATCTTCGGGTGTCGAAGTGTCTGAGACACCAAATGCCTTTTATACGTGTCTTCTTTCTTCGCTTCTTCTTCCTTTTTGTTACTTTCCATTTGTTCTCATAATGCAATTCAGCGAGCCAGAAACTTCGTGCCGTTTCGACGAATCGTGTTGTTTTCAATGAGCGACGATCGTTAAAAGTTTATCCGATGTCGTCGGCGACACGTTTATAAGATCTATTGTAGATCGATTCTTCAGGTGTAGAATCTTCCGTAGGTGAGATATTCAGGAGTCGTGCTGTAAAGGTTCATCCACATCACGACTAAGTCAAACGAAGCTTCCGCTCTTGTTTTATGGTCTGAGGCTCATTGCGAAGAAGAAATTATTAATAAAATTGCCTTCGCCTTCCTTCGCTCGGCCGACGTGCGAATCGGGCTTAAGGATCTTCAGTGTCGAAAATTCTTGTAAAATTTGATCTTCCAGCATTGATTATCGTGATCTTCAAGAATTCGACGATCAACCGGTGCATCGGCATGGATCAGATCTTCGTGTGCTGAGGTGATGATAGAAAAAATGGTGTATCGACGAAAAAAAAGTTATCCCCGAAAAATGATCATCTATAGATCTTTCAACTCCGTAAAACACTGAACAGGTCCAATATTCCAATAGCTTATAAATTTATTATTACCTGAAGAAGAGCGACACTTTTTAATAAGTGCGACAAGACATCGATCGCGCAATTATTTTCTCGCGAAAAAAAATATATATTCAATGAAATTATATAATCATCGTCGAATAAGTTAATTTAAGATGAAAGACGTCCACCGCTAGAGAACAAAGAAAAGCCATATGTACATTAGGTTTAGAGCTGTGCAATTAAAATATTTTATAAAAATTGCATGCACCTGATAGGCGGGGGTGTGAGAAATAAATAGAATCGGCGTACCACGAATCGCCGTTCGACTGATCGAAAAGAAAGTTCGAATTTACGAAAGTCCGTCGTTTCGTATGAAACGTGAACGCGCTTCTTTCGCACACCCCCTGCTATACGCGCGCTGTACGTGCAGCGGTACGGGATTACAAATAAAGAAGATAATCAACAAAGAAGCGATTACGTATAAGTATTTACTAAAAAAAAAAAAAAAAATGATAAATATGGATACGAAAAAATGTCAAATGAATCAAATAAATACAAAAAAAAAAAAAACTCACCCTCGGCAATGCGTCTAGTAGCCTCCTCGAGGTCCGCCTTAGCGTCCTTGAGTATGACGTACATCAGTGGCATCATCTCCCAAGAATATCGAAATCTCTCGAGAAGTTTGGTACTGTATTCCAATAGGACCTCGACGTTCTCACCTGCAAAGTAAAAGCCCAAAAATTCTCGTGAGACCACGAAACGAAGAAAAGCACCAGCACAACCTGGCGTCCGAACGACGGTAAATCCAACATGGCGACAATGACTGAATTATTTTTTATCGAGTAAAACGTAAGCGCTCCCACGAGCGTCCGACACGCAGGGTGGGGATTAAATACGTAAAGTATTGTCTAACAGCAGCATATTTCCGAACGATAAATCCGATCGAATCGAGAATAAAAAAAAAAAATTTACAAAACAACACAATCACGTCCAATAGTCGAAAACACGAAATTCGTGTAAAATTACTGACCAATATCACAACGATATACGACAGGCATCCCATTCACCGACGGCATTACTTTCCCAGCCATTAAGGCATGATATATTAGATATTACGTTAGCCAATGGGAGCCGAGCGGCGCGCATGGCTCCGCCCCGAGGGCTCGAAACCGTTTTTAAAACGGAAATGGCCTCCGCGACTAGACAAGGGCCCGAGAGAGATAGGAAGCTCACGGGATAGCAGGTGCGTCGGCGACATCAGGCGCGGTTCTCACGTGTACCAATGGTATAGCTGCGTTCCAGTCTACGTCCTGTCTAATGCAGGTGAAACGTGGCTCGAAGGGTGTCTTACGCAATGGGAGGGAGGAACGGAACAAAAAGAAACTTCCAATGGGCAAGGACAGTCACTGGCTCAAAGCCAGGGGGATACAGCATGGCCAAAGGGTGGTGGTCACGGCAGAGGGCTTGAGAGGAAAGAATAAAAAGAATAAAAAAAAAAAGAAGCTCGATGCGCAGCAAACAGTCTTTCATTGGATTTCACGTATGTGTGTATACATATATATATACCTGTTACCATGAAAGCGCCTCGAGTCTCTCTGACGGTCGCCATTTTACACTTTCGGGTTGATGGTCGTAAGTCCGCCACGAGGGGACCCTGCCATAAGTGCCAGCTGGAGGGAGGAAGAGGAGGTGGGGTGCAACAAAGGCCGACGACAGGAGGATTTGCGTTTATTGAAAAAAATTCCCATTCCCATACCCATATGTCTGACGTCTTTACCAACCCCGTCAATTGTACTGATATATAAATTATGTCACGTAAAATATATAGAATTTCGCATGACAGTTCGAGCCACACCACGTGGCGTCCTGTCCCTATGATCAGTCGAAAGACATCGTTTAACCATCGGTGCTCCGAATGTAAGCAAAGGAAGAACCTCCTGTCGTTCCTCGATTCTCCTGACGTATTAATAAGCCACTTGAACAATGTTTATAGCAACAAATCGTTCGACGGCCGCTAATTAAATGATTATTCAATGACAGAGAACGTCCCGCCATATTAAATCAGACCGTAAGCAATCGATCGATCTTCGATTTTAACCAGACGTATCTCTGACTCACTGACAGATCCTCTCCGCAGCTGCAGACACGACTGTAAAGGACGTTCGAGGGAATTAATAAAAAAAAAAATAATTTTTTTAATCACGCCTAAAAATACAGTAATTGCATACGAGACGTGTATGGCTCACGTGAAAAATGAATAATTCGATAATGAAACGAAGGACAAGTGACGTCACACGTATGGCGAGCAGCCCATATGCAATCATAAAGTGAAGATCCTTTATTTACCCCATGATACGTACATCGCCGGTATATCCATCGACACCTGCGATCCCGACAAGGACGACGACGACGCATCGATCGTTTCAATTTGAATTTGTTACCCGCTGTCGTCAGGCTCTACTATTGTATTCCTATAAATATTAAATATCTAGCGCCGTAGCGCTGTAATATTATAAAACACGTTGCTCACTTATTCATAAACGTATATTAGTCGCAGCACACGAAATTGTACATCGTCCCATTGTAGTACTGAAACAACCGCGGCAGACCCCGTCGAGAAGGGAAGCAAGTCAGTAACAGAACCTGAGAGAGAGAGAGAGAGAGGCTAATAAAAAGATTGAGTAATAGATATCGGTACGGATCCCGAAGCAGCGTAATTTATTCTGCTCCTCGGGCTTTTATTCGTCTACTACTGTAGTTCCGTTTTACTGCCCTCCGTCGCCGTCCTAGTACGTAGACTCGGTACGTCCGCATATGAGAGCTGCCATAGGAAGACGAAGGAATCCTCATATAGTGTGACGACACTAGCCAGACACCCTAGGCATATATGTGTATATATAGTGAAATAAAACAAAATTTACATAAAATTTCTTTTCCCGACGAATACACTGATAATACAAAAACGGACGATTCACTATAAAAAAAAAATACTGTAAAAGGTTGTGCACGGCCTTAACCAATGCATCATAATCTCGCGAGCTCTGTTGCTAGGCAATAAGTCAACAAGTACGTGCACGACGTTTTCTTATCACGAAACGTGATGCATTACGCAATAATCACGAAGGAATCGCTACTGGGCAAGTTTGTCCGTCCAAAGGCCTGTTTAGTAAGAAGCTTAAGCATGTTGTACGTATCGCAAGTCTCGGCGCGGTACGACGTACTCCGGTTGCTACGTCGACGTAGTCCTGGGTCACACGTACGTTAAAACAAACAATTCTCAATCGCCTTGATAAGTCCCTTCGAGGAAATACGTGCACCCTGAAGTTAGGTGTTTGGCCAGTCGATAACGGTAGTCAAAGTAAACGCATACAAAAAGAAAACAGGTTAACGCGCATGCGCGTCAAATGGCTTGCCCTTTCGTTATACGTGAACTGTCAAAAAAAAATATACATATATATATATATATATATATATATATATATAAAAAAGATTATATAAAATTCAATCCCACCAGCAGAATCGAACGGTCGTACTTGCCGTCGACGTATTTCACAAAGTCCGCAGACATTCGAAGAAGCGAACAGAGGAAGAACGACCGCACTTCGAACGAACAAAAAAAAAACTTTAAATCCAAGAATCCGGTTGACGTCGCAACCATTTTCTCGGCTCTTTTTCTTTCCCGCCTATTTCTTGGACAATCTAACGATCGACTGCGTTTCCCCAACGAAGGTGGCTCGCGAGTTCACTGGCCAGTCGTAAACACGGCTAAGGGTACTGGTGGCATAATATTGTGGCTACGTTGTGGCTGTTGGTACCGTGTCGATTCTCGGAAGCCCATAATACAATCCAACGGAAGTGAGTGGGTTACTCATACGTTCACTGATTTGCTCTTACTCATTTATTTTGGTTTGGCCCTTCGTTCCTTCTCTCTCTTTCTTTTTATCGCCAAACGCAATATGCCAATGCGCCACAGGTATACATATTTACCACAGTCAATACACAATGAAGACCAGTCGACTATGACCCTGCGAATAAGCACGCTTGTTACGTCCCGCCCACCCTTCTCCTATCATACAAGGAGGAGGACCCCTCTGTCCGGAAAGTTCTCGCGTAACAGTCAGAGATAAGAAAGAAGAGAATGTGGACCACCTGCCGAGGAGGAGCGATAGCGTTGTTGAAGTCGCCGGAATAATATCACGCGTTAATGTCATCCTACTGTTTGGATAAGTAAGTGGCTTGTTGTGCCAAGCGATACGCGAGCCTTTCGTTTATTTCTAAATTATTATTACGAACGCAGTGTGTACACTTGGAGAATTATTTCCTAGCGTTACGAGATCTCGCGTCCGGACCGCTCGTAATCTCTTAACGTTATGTTACACATTGGAGGCTGATACGAATGGAACGAAATTGATATTGTTTATGTTTGTCAAATTAATTATTTGAATTATTTACTCCCGTGCGTTTGCCACAGACAACGAGCGACACAGTCGTCAGGAGAGTATAGTATCGTATAGATGGCATGTGTATGCGTATACCTAGAGATATCCCTATGCAATATCATTCACTTCGATTCTCGAGTCGTGCGCAAAGCGGAGTTGATATAGACACCCGGCGGCTGGATTGACGTCACGTGGAAACGCGAAATGCGATGACGAAGAAATTTTAGGATTGCCCAAGGGATTCGCGTTACAGAGACGACCGGTCACACAGAGACACGTGTATTCCGCAACGATCGGCTCTGTCCGTCATCACACGAGCGACCGGGGGATCCTGTCGCCCGTTTTTCGACACGATACCCTTGTCGTGCGCGAAATCGACACCGATATCGTCCTTGCTCTCTGGCGTGGCTTTTATCAGCGGGAGGGGATGACTTTCCAAAGGGGTGGTGGTTAAAGCGGGGATTCAACGCGTACCGAGCACGTATGTTCCTATGAAACGAGAGGTACGACTGTCGATTTTTTTTTTTTTCGGGGACAAATAAATTATGGTTCGATATTTCGGACTGATTTGCAAATCGACGATTCGATTTTTTTTTTTTTTTTTTCAAGTATTTGACGATATTTTTTTTTTTCTAAATAAACACAAATACGAAAATCCCACGACCAGGAGATTTGAGACCGATACTCGGATGGAAGGGATGCGCGAATAGCATAAAGGAATAGGTCGTTCCTGGCTGGCTTTTACGAGATACGACGTTTCGGAAGTAGTAAAATTTCGTCCTGTCAACTCGTCCACAAGTAAGACACTGCTAGTCCCGCCACCCTCAACGAATCATCCCCTTGGTCGACAAGTAAGCTATCAACTGTACCGACGATAAAACAGTGCGAATCAACAATGACTGTCTTACGTCAGAGTCGATATCGGTGTTAAAAAATTTTTTGAAAAATTTTCTAACAATGATACGCATTTTGCATAATTTACTTTTGAAAAAAAAAAAAAAACATTCTCATAAAAAATACAAAATAATCTCACGGTGGTATACTTGTAGCGGTAGCAGGCATATGAGAGTCGTATGACGATTAACGAAATCAATTTATAAATCAAAAGTCAACGAGCATAGGTGGACCTTTCATGTTTTACGATATTTTTCTAATCGAGCCCAAGTATAAGGGTGAGGTGAATCCAGAGAGGAGGGTGGAAAAGGTGACAGATCATTTAACCCCGTAGCTCGTAAAATCCGCGCGACATGACCGGCTCGGTTCGCTAGACTGTGACTGAA